TCGACGAGGGTGATGGGAACCTATGGTTATTGTGCTCCCGACTACGCGATGAGCGGAAAGCTTACTGTGAAGTCGGACATATATAGCTTCGGCGTGGTGCTCTTGGAGCTCCTCACAGGGAGGAAAGCATATGACATCACCAGGAAAGCTGGGGAGGAGAATTTGATCACTTGGGTATGTTTTTCCTTATTCAACTTCAATTAGTTTAGGAAGATTTACATACATACCATACCACTCGGTTCCTCTATTTCTACATTTCTAACATCTAAACTTTTACATAAATGGCAATCCATTTTTATGTATTTACTTATCTTACATCTAAATTTTCATATTTGCACACATGGTACTTAAATCTTTAATATGACATCAAAAATAGCACTATTATCTCTTTTTAAAAGTGAAATACACATTTCCATGCATAAATTTAAAGCGCCAAAGTGATATATATGTAAATAGCAAAGTATAGCTGTGAGATATGTAAATACATAAGATTTGTGTGCTACATATGTCCATCCCCTTCATGCTCGATCAACACGTTCGTTCTTCTTTTGTATCAGGCGCGCCCTTTTCTTAACGCCTCCTTTGTTCTTTTTCAACATCAATGTTTGATCAACATGATCATTCTTCTTTTGTATCAGGCGCGCCCTTTTCTTAACGATCGACGACAGTTCACCCGGCTCGCCGACCCATTGCTTCGAGGCCGCTTCCCGATTCGCCCTTTTTACCAGCTTATCATCGTGACTTCAATGTGCCTCCATGAGAAGCCGAACGTTCGCCCGGCGGCTCGCGAAATAGTCTATGCGCTTGACCATGTTGCCTCTCAGCCGTATGTTGATTCAAACCATGTTTCTTCATCTGCAGAATTTCAGAGACAAAAGGATTCTAAGAATCGAAGCTCTTCATTTTCTCATTGAGACAAATAAATAAATATATTGTAAATGTGCAGAGAATAAGATATTAACTGCAATTTTGCTTGATGTTGGTGTCAATAATGTAATGCTGAACTGATATTTATTTGACTGTATATTTCTTTTGATGTGTGTTTTGTAAAACTTATATTTTGGGAGGATAATTCCTTAAAAATGTTAAGTAACTCTTTGTCCATTACTTGTAGGCAGGACTGTAAATTTCGCTCAGATTCTAGGCATCATTGAACGTGTCGGGTCATAAGTCCTCAATGTGAAAACTAGAGGGTTGTGTTAGGTAGTTTACAACAACAATAAACGTTTATCCCACTAGGTGAGGTCGGCTATATGTTAGTAGTCGACAGTCATTGCATAATTTTGTCAAAAAATCATGACATGAATCTTTTAAGGAGAAAAAATATTCATGTAGCAGACCCCATTCAGTGGGAAAAAGGTTTTGTTGTTGTTGATCCGAGTTCTAGGGACTCCTAAGACGAAGTTTTGAACTCCGTATTGTTTTGATTCTAAAAATTACATTGAAATCCATACAAACAAATCAATTTTATATGCCATATTACCAAAATGACCTTACAATTATTGAAGCATGCAAATAATATCTATATATATATATATATATATAT